GCTAGAGTCGAAGCTCTAGCTAGTTTCTAGTTTTAGTAATCTACCGTATTGGTGTGTCAGGATCGCAAGTGTATTTCTCAGATTTTCTACATTTATTGCAGTTGTTTGGTACCTTCTGTGTACTTTAACGTTCCTCTTCTAAAAATGTGTGTACGTATGTACGTACAAACATTTTTAGATTAAATATTTCATACATATGTACGTACGCCCGTAGTGATATTTTAAAAATTAGGTACACCCCGAACCTTATGTCAGAACTACGGGTGTACTACTGTACTACTAATATGTGTTGCTTAGTGCACTGTTTAAGTAGATTCGGTACCTCTTGTGAGCGTACTCCTTCCTTAAAGGCTGATAACGCGCTTGTGACTCCTGAGTTGCAGGCGTTCATGGGCGGCGGTAGTCGCTTTCCATCAGGTGAGACCCGTCTGCTCGTTTGTCCCCTATTTCATAAAAAAAACAAGTTCCTTGTTACTTATATATATATAAAGAATAAATGAAATGAAAATACAACAACAAAAAATACTTGAACAAAATGAAAATATTATGTCTGTCAACATTGGCTCAAATTTCTTTTGAAATTTTTGTCTATACCGGCGACTAGTGTTCCTAGTGAACAAGTTTTTTGGAGACCGGTAATCTAATTACTTGGAAAGGAACAGGCTGAGCCACAGAAACATCTAAGCATCGGTGTATTTATCTTCGCGGTTCGGTAAATATTGTTTCAATATTACTTACCCTACTGGTTTTTTTGTTCTAGTTCTTTGGATTATTTATTCTATTTCTAAAACCATAAATCAATCGATTGATTTAAATTAATTAATTAAACATTTTAAAATTTTCTTTAGCCAGCGTAGCATAATGAGCCTTAAAGGCTGAGCTCGAGTCGCGACTCGCATCTTGAGTATAGACTCGAGTTTTGGTACAACCTTACAAACCTTATTAGCAGGCTCGAGTCTAAAACTCGAGCCTTCTAATAAGGTTGTAGCCTTTAATGAGTTTAAGGCTCGACGACTCAAGCTTTTTAACAACACTCATTACATCCATCAATACAATATACCCATGTACTACATATTCAGTCTAAAAAGACATTAAAACATTTTCACCACATCATAAACTCGGTTAACAGTAAGAGAATAAGATAATTCACTAGGTATATAAAAACAAAAAAAAAAATACAGACGAACTGAGAACCTCCTCTTTTGTGTTTTGGAAGTCGGCTATAAATCGATAGTCACTATAAAGGCAAGTAGTTAGTAGATAGCCCAAACATCTCCGATCGGCTCGATCCCTTCGCGTTACGTAGAGATTTGGCTTTCTCTAATTCTCTATCGCATATATAATGGAGAGTGCTCCGAGGAATTGTTCGGACTAATTTGCAAAATTTTCATCCTCATTACCTGGATAGTTGGTGCTCCACTACTGTGCGCTTTTCGAGACACTTTTTGCCCCGCACAACCAATCTGTGGAACGGGTTATCGTCTGCGGTATTTCCCGACCGATACGACCTTCAAACCTGCAATTAAAGAGCCTAAAATTTCCTAAAAGGCCGGCCACGCATTTGTGACTCCTGAGTTGCAGACGTTCATGGGCGACGATATTCACTTTCCATCAGGTGACCCGTCTGGTCGTCTGCCCCCTCTAACATTAAAAAAAAAATTGTTACGGCGGTGACAAGCCATTGATATGCCTCAAAATGGCGGGAAAATAAAAAAAAGTATTTAGCAACAGTAGTGAGGTTGTTGATGACATAAGTAAAGATCGATGACTAAGAAGCCATCCCCTATGGGTTTTCGGTATCGTTTAGCCTGTTGCACTCAATAGGCTAATAATTAATTTGACATAGTATTCTGTATATAATATCCAATATATAATACAGCTGTATATACAGCTACTATTCTAAACTATACATTAAATCGTTCGTGAAATTTGTTTAAAGGGACACAAATAATTCTCTTCACGTATTCTAACTATAAAAGAAATGCGAAAGTGAGTGTTTGTTTGTGGCGCTTTCACGCCCTAAGTACGCAACTGATGAAAGCGTAATTATATAGACTTTCAAGGAATAAAATTAGATACGAGCGAAGCCATCACAAAAACTAGTCAATTAATATAATAATTCATATAACGGCAACTAGACCAAAACTAAGCAGAGCTTGTATTATACATAGAAAAACACCCAGCCCGAATCTAACATGCACACAAATATTTGTCTTCAGCGGGCATCATACCCGCTACCGTTGGCTTAGCAGTCCATTACTCAAACCATCACCACTACGCCATCCGGCTGACCGGATAATACACGCTTCGCTACACTTTGGCTGCCACTTCACCGTTGATCATGACCATGGTTACTACTAAGTAAGGTCACAATGTATAAGATACCGTAATGACCCGTTAAGTTTAAAACTAGGTGTGAGATGTCAGCTATTTAGCTGGTTCTACCGTATTTACGGGCCGAAACCAACTAAATACAGCATGGGGCTTGGGGAGAGTATTATGTTGGTGTGTTATCGTCTATCTGCATGAATTTCTACCGATTCTACATGTGTTTGATATGGCGGCTTTCTGTAAACTTATATAAAATTAATTATTATCATTGGGAGCATCTATGTGCACCACTAACCGTGCGCTATGAGGGGGCGCGTATTAATTTACAATTACTTGGTCGTACTTATGATCTTTTGTCTCGTCTAATTTATGGGCTTTAGTTATTGTGCAATATTATGGGTGCTTATACGAGTAGTCTACAGATTGTGACAGGAAAAGGAATCCTACTTTACAGTATTTAGTAGAGCCAGTACATAATGTAAAGTGCTAATTATTTTAATACCAACTTATTCAACTAAACAAAGAATAAATGTTATACTTCGTAAGAAAGGATTGATATGAATAAAACTATACATATTTAATACCTAGAATGTTGAAGAATTGAAAGTTTTTTTTTAGAATATTTTGAAATATCTGCAATAAAAATAAAGTCACTGAAATTGACATAAAAATTATAACCATTGTTTAGAAATATTGTTTAGAAACGAAAACAAAAGACAACAAAAGATACTATAAATTTAAAAAAGGAAAGCCGAAGAAATTAATTGTTTAAGGCTCAGCTGATTGTCGTTAACATATAACGCTTATTAAATTTGACCACAAATTTCTGTAACACCTTATATAAATATCGCCCCTCATGAACCCGAGGACAGTCAGTCTACCACAGTTACATGACCATCGTTAGACCAGCTTATGATAAACTGATATTACAGAAGGGTAATGGTTTTCTCTTCAATATAAAGTCACTCAAACTTCTTGGTTTTAAGAAGCTCTAAAATCTTCTTTCTGCAAAAAGATCAATCATCTTTTTTTGAAAGACGACTCCCATACTAGGAATATATCCTTTGTCGCGAGGAACTTTCTAAACATACATGAAACTGACACAAAGAAAGATTTGTGGATCACACAAAGTGTTGTTCCATATGGGGATAGAACCCACAACACTCAGCGCAGTAGAAAGCGGCGGGGGAGCACTTTAACCACTACTCTATACCTGCAGTTTGAATACAAGACTTTTTTTTTAAAAAAAAAGGTCGTTCGTAATAATTGTCAAGTTATTTTTATAATTATTATAAACTTACAAAATCATAATAATCTTTTCTGTAGTTTTCCGCTAATCTGGCCGAGCAAAACGATATAAAAATTTAAAAACTGTTATTTATTTGATAACATATTGTATGTAAATTTTAACAAATTTTGTGAGGGCGCTCTCTCCAGTTTTAAAGGTGTGGTGAGAAGGGGTTTTGGCTTTAATAAACTAACTTACACACAGTGGAAAGCAGCAAAAGAACTGCTCAACACCGGTTTTCTGTGAGGCTCGAGTTTCTCACTAAGGTCGAGCTGCCCTCATAAGTTCCGAAGCATGGCTACATCACCTATTGATGGATGAGAGCTATTGGGATTCCCAATAACACAAAATTGTGTAACATAAATTGATTCTACTGTTAAAGATAAAGGGACACACACTGCAGTCATTGGGGAAACACCATTTTACAAAGGTCATTGAGGCTCTCCTTTCTAACTATACAGTATTCAATAACACAGATTTTAAGACGTGAGGGTGAATCCTTGTAAGGTTAACGAGTTTTAGAGTTTAGGGCTGATAAACGATACCACTAGCACTACATTCACTATAGGCAGATATTTTTTATTTTAAAAGACAACTCCCGCTCTAGGAATAAATCCTGTGTCGCGGGGGACTTTATAAACATACATGAAACGGACACAAAGAACACCCAGACCCAGAACGACAATTTGTGGATCACACAAATTGTCGTTCCATGTGGGGATCGTACCCACAACACTCAGCGTAGTAGGAAGCGGTGTGGCGACCGCTTAAACCACTACGTTATCCGTGCAGTCGTCGGACGAAAAAAACGAAATTGTGTTTGGCTTTAAGCGGTTGTAAAGTGTTGTAGAGGTGGGTAGAACTGGGAATAAACAAGAGGTAATGTTAAAGAACTGTGTCATACTGTGTGATGATCTGTCACTGTAGTGAAAACATTAATCCTTAACCAATTACTACCGAATACTGTGTAAAATTGTGCTGACGTCATAGTGGTTTTAAATTTTATAATCGTTACTTAGTGTTTTTCTTAGTTTGTTTGTTACGGTTTCATGCCTTAACTACTCATTATCATCATCATCATCATCATCATCATCAACAGCCATTACTAGTCCACTGCTGGACATAGGCCTCTCCTTAGAAAGGAGGTTTACTTAACTACTCAACCGATTATTATATGTATTGTATTGTATGTATTTACGTTGTCAAGTTTACAGATGAGGGCATAAGATACTTATCATCACGATAATAGTAGTTACTGTTTCTAAGGAATACGCGAATTGATTGATCTGTTATCGACATAAGTCGTCGAGCAGTTTTAACATAATCAATCAATCAATCAATCAATTTGAGTTAACTAAGTTGTGGTTAAGCTAGAAGCAAAATGTGTTTGAATCGATTATCACACTGCTCGATAGAATTAACAGGAAAAGGTTTTCTTTCGGAACTCTTTATTTTAAAACCAACATTAAACGCTTCAATGAAACGGCAAGACTTAACTTGGAACAAGTTTTTCTAATTTCATGCCAGTTATTGCGATAGTCATTTCTACATAATTCATTGCCGGAAAAAAGCTTAGTATTTGCAAGTATTTTAAGTATTTTTGCTTAGTATTTTAAAATGTGCAAATTTTAGCGTATGATGCACTGGCGGGTAAAGATGCGGAGTCAGCAGTGAGCCTGCAGGCCGGTGTGCAGGCCGGCGCGGCGCACGCTCGGCCCGCGCCACGCCACCCACTTGCCTCCAAACCTTCGTCGCGAGCGGACGGCATGGCGACCGCGCGTTGAACCGAATACGTGTCTGTGCTCTGTGAAATTTTACACACCGCTCATCACTACCCAGCGAACAATCACCGAACACATTATGCACCTGTAAGTACTAAAACGCAAATAACTGAAGTATCTGCAATCAATTTCCATTTTTCAATCATTTTCCGCGTCCCGGTGTTTTCCCTCCGGAAAATTGTAACAATTGTAACACATCCTAAAAAATATTACTTTGATTTCACGCATATAACATCTGTTTTATAGTATATTGTGAATAACGTGTAGACATAAAATTACATCGTTAATTACCTTTGACTCGGTACCACAGGCTCTATTGTGTCCGCAGTATTTGTTTTAATGTTTCAATACAGACGATGAAATGTCACGAAATTTCAATAACAGCCGATGAAATGAATCACGCCTTAGTCATCGCCTCCGTTCAAACATAAACCAAACTTATCTTTGAGGTCGTGACACCTAATGAAAGCGTTTGGCTAAATATTATAACATCATTTACTTAGAATTGCACCTACATTGAAAATACATATATATGTACTCAATCTAAACAGATTTCCTTGATGAATTTCTGTACAAAAAAAATTCTTTGTTTACTTTGCGCGTATTTATTGTATAATTAAACTATATTTATATATTTTTTATGATATATTTTATAATAAAGAATATTAGCAACATGTGTGTTTCTACTATTCTTATTAAATACTTCAGCTAAGCTGAATGCTGGTGTTGTGATGTTTGCGTCGGCAGTGTGTTGGGTGGGGGTGGCAGTGATTCGAACCCCAACCATCGCAGACGATCGGAAGTCTGACGCCTGAGCTATTACTTGTATTAGAACAGCCCGGACAGCACTCTGTTCTGATAGATGAATTCATTTAATATATAATTAATGTTGTGAAATTAGAGTTTTTGAACTGCATCAGTAAGAGCCATCTCTGTTCGTGGTCGAATGCCCATTACTTTGCATGAGGAATTTTAATTAATGACGCAATGTCCTCTGCTGGTTTTATTTTTGCATAACGCAAAAATAAAACAATGCAGTAACCTGTTGTATCATCGTCGTAAAAATATGAGTCAGTCTGGTTTTCCTTGGAGATGATTCCGTTCATCGAACGAAGGATCAGTCAATAACTACTGAATTTGTCAGACGAGCGACTTTTCGCATGGGCCGCCTCGACCGCGCGTCTCTCTACCGGTACATTTCTATTGTGTACACAGGCCACTTACTGTACGATTAGAGCTCTTCAAATGTAGGTTATTATACTTATTATAGTACTAGTAAGTAGCAGTTAATTTGCACATCAAAGCTCCACTCAAATTCGTACGCCCGTCAGACAGATGGTCTTGATCTTTCAATTGTATGCAGATGAGGCTGCAATGGCAGTAATATTTAAAACTAGTTTCAAGAAAATAACGGCCATCATATTCATATTAATGTCTATTTGCGGCTTATGCAATTAAAATAGCTGAATTAAAGTAGGGGCGAGTGACGCGTGGTGAATATTGAAGTTGTGTCGAACGCGGATAGTTGCGCAACATAATTGTTGGCTCGCGGCGTGAATTGCGATTAATCCATGTTAATATTTGCTGGGCGGCGGCGGAGGGTTCGTCGCCGGGCGTGTGTCGCAACACGCGGCGATAGTCGCGCGGCAGCACGGCGTGCTCCCACTGGAGCCGCGCGGAATTGCAATTAGTCGTGATGTGTGATCGTTGGCGCATAGCAACAATGCACCGGACACCAGCCGCACATCGCGACATCGCGTACGATAACACGGCTTTGGTTACATTTACATACACTCTACCTCCGCACTTCTTAGCTCGTTATTTCCTCGAGGTAGCGTCTCGCCGGATTCGCTCACCATTCGATCCGCGCCCGCAGTTTTGAAATATTGCCAGTGTTGGTATAGTTTGCATTGCGGATTGCAACACTTAACGAATGCAATCATTAAAAATCTAGTACATAAACACATCATTGTACCTACTTATTTTTATTTTTAAAATTACGATTGTAGTTATCCTAAAAAAATATCAAGGGTTAGAATATCATGTACCCTATCAACCTATACTTTGTAATCAAATTAATTGTGTCCATTAAAATAACTGTATCGATTTTGTTAGGGATTGTCGTTATTGTTCCGATGAGTAAATTTAAAAGCGTCCATAGTTAAGTCTTAAAAAGATAAAAGTTCCTCTGCATTGACGCAAGGATGAAGGCAAAATTGTCTAGTTAGGTAACATTAAAAGCAAACAAATTTAAATTGAGGACATTTGACTTTTGTTCCGCTTTGATGTCACGCTTGTTGTGGCCGAGACGATTATTATATCCAGCAACTTGGACAAGCAACTTGTCTCTGGTTTGATCACTGACAGCGTTAAATAAAATCACATCACCATGCACTCGTGGGTAGGTAGTCTTTGGAAGCTTCGTGTGCATTAGAATTTTCAATGTAAATATTCTTAATTAGTCCTGAATCTAATCAATTTCCTTTTATAATTAGATATGCATGTACACTTAGATATTGCACAAAAACCTATTTCAAAGTATTCGTTGCGTCGCCGTCTACCCGTGGTCTCCACACTTGGCGTGGGAGCCGGTAGTGCAACGGAACGTGATTCATTTAAATCCATCAGATTGCGGTATTTGTTGAAGACGTAACTACATTTGCATACTAATACAGCTGTTGCGGGATTCATTCTTTTTGCTCATTGTATTTTAAACAAAACACCTCAATGCCACAACTTTTTTATGTCATTACGGCTCAGCATTGTCCCTAAAATGATGAAGGTATCAGTCGCCACCTCGATACCTGTTCGAATTCCGTAACGCTTCCACACAGGAATGCGAAATTCAATTAACTTTTTTAATGCCCCGTCCATTTTGATCTTTCTGCGAGAATGTTGCCACAGATAACACGATCACAAGACGTTTTGGCGCCAATTAATGGAGTCATTTTGGATTTTTATATGTTTTTTAAATGTTTAAAAAAGTAAATCACTTGAATTGCTTTTTATATGTGCATTTTTGACAACTACAATAAAATTTATATTATTATATTTACATTACAGTATTTTTAAATGTGTTTAAATTTGGATTTCAAATTAGTAATAAATATTCTTAATAATAAAATACCTTTAATTGAGCTTTCTGCAACTATGTTGTTTGTGGTAAAGGGAATTGTATACGACTGTATTTATATAATCCATTTGAAATGACACGTGAGTTAAGAAAACTGTCATTTCACATTCACATGGCTAACTTAACTTGTGATTAATTAAATATATCTTTAGCTTATATTTTTTGGTGTTCGTGAAGCGAAATACACATTTAGCTGACAAGTGAAAGTTTGAATGACATGACAAAATTGCAGAACACGTTTTAATTATTAATTAGAAAAGGTTGTAACTGTAATTTTATAGCTTCAGGAATATTTAAACGTCTGAGTGATAGAAATTTGGAGACATTTTATCGTATGAGTGTTTAAGTCAATGTGGCTTAGCAACTTCCTGACGTTAACTAAGCCGGAATCGAATTGTATGGAGTTATAAACCAGCCGTGTTATAACCCTAGTAGGAAATCTAGAGTCGTATGGTGACCTAGAACTTGACTACATTACATACCTACCTTATTCTCATATTACGGTTCTTATCTGAATGGAATTTGTCACACATTCTAACAAGATAATTGTTTTGACGAATAATAATCGAACTAAACGTAACGGCAAATTATTTATTGTCTTTCTTTCCGATTGACTTGAGGTTTTGTGCGACAAATATTTTCTATTTCTTTGTTCAATGTTGTTGTGTAATTTGTTTGAGTTCTGTAATAAATAAAATAGAACTTAAATGTCGAAAGGAATTTAGATCCAGATTTCTTTATTGAGATCTAGAACAAAGATTTGTACGTTATTCTTTTGTGAACAGATTGAGTGTAAAACGTAGAAATTTCTCACATTTTTAGAATGCAGAATTAGGAAAAGTGCGACATCGAAATATATACAGGTTCATAGATTTGATTACCAACATTTATTCTAACTAGAATTGCCTGTACATTGCTGTTTAAATATGTATTGGTACTCAAAGTAATATAAGACTAATATTCTAAGAAATCCACTGCTAAATAAACATATCTCACAAGCTTCTGTACATAATCATAATCAAAAGAATCCTAAGCAAATAGGTGGACTTAAATATCCTACTACGACTACAATTTCTAGAAGGTATTAGTAGAGTGCTATGTATGTTCTTAAGCATAAACTTAGACCTTAAAAAATATATTTACTTTTATCTTCTAATACTGATTGTATATTATATTAATTTTTCATGTTGAAAACAACAGTTAAATGATGGTTCATTAATCTGTTATCTCGAAAACATCCGCACTAACAACAGTTAGTAGGATACTTTTATTAAATTTTCGCATCTTGTCACCTTACATTACCTTTTTTTTTTTTAAATACAACTCCCGCGTTAGGAATATATCCAGTGTCGTGGGGGACTTTTACAAACATACATGAAACCGACACAAAGAACACCCAGACTTAGAACAACAATTTGTGGATCACACAAAGTGTCGTCCCATGTGGGGATCGGACCCACAACACTCAGCGTGGTAGTAAGCGGCGTGGCGACCGCTTAAACCACTACACCGTCCGTGCAGTCGAATCTGTGAATACTCTTGAATCAGAAATTAATCGCGTTGAACTGTGGCATAGTAGCTAAGTTCATTTCTCCTATATGAATATTATTTAGATTAAATTCTAATTTACAAGTGAACTAGTTATAAGTACATTCAATTAGTTCCTCTGCGAAAAAACATAATAGTTATTTATAAACATTTAACCTATCCGTTAGTTGCTTGAAGTCTACTTTATGATGTCGGGGGCGTCGAACACATTCCGCACAGAAAAAAAAGGGGGCGTCGATCAGTACCAAAACTATTATTTGTCGATATATATGTTTTTTTTAAAGGTTTACTAGCAACCGAAATTACTAGTATTCCGTTAACCCCTCCAGCTAAGCTAAATTGCTTGTATTAGGAGTGGGTTCACGTCGGTAGTGTACTAGTCAGGACTTGAACCCACGACCTATTGATCGCAAGTCCAACGCCTTAACCACTAGGCAAGCTTATAGCTGTTTCCTATATCTATTTGTAGGAAGTGCTTCGTCCTCTGTAGTCTAATACACGTTCAGATAATATATGCACTATTCTAACACTACATTCGTATTCACGCACCCGGCCACTGCACGTGTTCACGCATTCATTACAGTCATTCAGTTACGTTATTCAAATGGAGTGTGCGTTGAAAGTGGAAAATGCTTTATGATATGTACTATTGGCACACTCTGCCAATGCTTTCCCATGGTGTAGGTGCACTCATACTTGGTTCTTCATCTTTCATAAACATATCTAGCTATTTCAATTTACTTTTCCTTCTCAATTTTTGCAAGATTACTTTTCAAATGCAATCTATTTAATAAAATGCACTTTTGGAATGATAGTAAAGTAATTCTAAATGTAGTTTGAGGAATATTGGAATATGAGCAAAGAAAATCTTTAAGAAAATAATGTGGAAACGTGACAAATGAAATAGACCAAGCTGTCCCTTTCTTGTCCATAGTTTGAATAATTTTTCCCAGAACATTTTGAAGTAGGCTTTTTAACGTCAACTTTATGAAAAACTTTGTTAGAATTCTTCTTAACCATTAAAAGCTATCAACCATAGACAAATATTTCGACTAAAGCCATTAATGTACTGATACCACATCAACCTTATTTCACCGGGATAGTAAATAATTGTAAACAAATTTATTGTAAGATACATATGTATAATATTGAATTTATGGAGCTCAATTTTATTTTGTATAGCTAAAAGAAACATGATTTCAGATTAGCAATAATGATTTAACGACGCTTTCTGAACAATGTTGGTTTATTTAGTGTTCTCGAGTATCTAGCTTTTTTGTTCAAATCTAGGTGTAGACTATGACGCAAGTTCGGACAGTTTCCAGCGCGCACTTTCACTCACTTGGACAATGGCTCCAGACTGGTGTTATGCTTAAAATTCCAAGTCAACAATGCCCGGATGATGAATTCTTCACATAGTAAACACGACGAGAAATTTACACGCTTCACGACAAATTGTTTTGACAAGACCTTTGTAGACTGTCGTTTTAGGTATTCACATTCCTACAGTAGCCTTGGATCTGTTGAATTGTTTTGTTTTAGAGTAAAGTCCTTGGACGATTTATTGAGTTGTAAAGCGATACGACAGTTGCTAATATGCTTTGTTGTTCTTCTGTTTTAGTGACACTCTTGACTGCTTTGCTATCGAACATGATAGTATTGGAGACGATGAATATCTGTGATATTGTTATAATCTATTTATATTGTGTAGTCGTATACTGTTATTACCTCCTCCTTTCTAACCTCCTTTCTAAGAAGAGGCCTATGTCCAGCAGTGGACTATTAAAGGCTGTTGATGATGATGATGATGATACTGTAATCACTGACCTGTTGGTCCAATAGTTAGGGATGCTAACTGTTGAGCAAAAGATAGTGAGTTTGATCCCTACTCAGAATTTATAGTTTTGTAATAGGTTTCGATTGTCTGTTCTGTGTCTGGGTGTAATTTATCTATAATATGTAGGTATCTAGTTAGAAATATATAAGTATGTTTATTAGAAGTATGGATAATAATACAGACGGCCATCTGTAGTGTCAAGTTATTATTATTATTAATTCGCTTTTTGTACGTAAC